TGGTTTGGAATGAGGGGATTTACTCATTCTTTTCAATCGCAATAATTGTTCATTGTCAGTTGGCGTGTTCAGTTCTTCTCTAATTTGCGAAAGCATCGCCGTGCAGTTTCCCGGGGCAGTTTCTAACCGTTGTTCCGGACGGAGAGCAAACTGCTCTTGTGGAGAAAGATTCTCCTTCCTCGAGGACAACGAAAAGTTCGTTTTTCAGCAGGTCGGCCCACTTTGGTAACGTTTCCCCTTTTCTGGTAGGCGCAACAAACGCATTTTCCGAGCTTATCCATCCATTGGTAAAATTGCCGAACTGTGTTTTGAAACAACAGCCGCACATTCTACAATTTGTCCAAAGCCCTCGGCTCTTTCGCCTTTCTCCCTCTTCGAGGAGCAGGCACAGGCTTTGTTGTCGTACTGCCACTTTCACTCATTTTTGATCCTCCACTATATATACTACATTTCAATATATACACTACATTTCACAGGGAAGCAACGCTAAATGCTGGATTACGGCGTCAATAATAACACGCGAGTCTATCAAATTCACAAAGAGGGCGGAGTTGCGAACAGATTTGTGACAGCTCGACGACATTTTTGAACCCCCTGGTCGGAACGAACTCATTGTATGGAAAACGGACAGTCGGTTTTTTTTCTCTCGCCTCACACGCCCTACGGGCGTGTGAGGCTCGCGCGCTTCGCGCGCGTAAGACTCTTACGCCACGCTTTACCGATTTCTTACTGATTTTGAGAAAAAAACCGACTGTTTTGCAGTCTAGAACTCGCATAATTACCTAACTAACAGCGAGTGAAAATGACAAGACTTTCATTTCCTCGAGATAGACAGGAGAAAATAGTTCCGTAATAGTCAGACAAAATTGAAATAGAGAGTTTTCAGCCCCACTTTGTGTATATGTGCGTGTGTTTTGTTTATATATCCGAGTTTTAGCGCTAAATAAGAAGACGTAAACTTTATTGCAATAAAGACTTTTCAACCCCATTTTCTGTATGTGTTTTGTTTATATATCTGAGTTTTAGCGCTAAATAAGATATAGGAAGCCGTTTCTCGCGTTGCTAGGTGATAACTTCTCTTATTCCTATTTTTCTTGTAACAGACGGTCCGAAAACCGGGCTCAAGGTACCTCACCTATACCGAATTAGTATGCAGGAAGACACTGACTAGGCACTTAATTGATACGAAGGAAGGCAGTGACTAGGCACTTAATTAGTATGGAGGAAGGCACTTTTTCCCCAGGTTATAACAATGGGTGACGTCATTGACTAGACCTAGCTAGACCTTGCTTGACACTAACGAGGCTTATCTTTGACCCTAGTATACTACTAATTTTTGTCATGTGATCTGACGTTAGCCAATGTTCCATCATCCATATCTCTGTCTCACTTTCGCAAGCCTCAGAATTTAGTTTTTGTTGTTGTTGTTGTTGTTGTCGGTTTTTTCTTCAATATGTATATTTCTTACGTTCATTCATGTTTATATTCACTAATCCATTGATCCATTTTAATCGCTCTTTCCCTTCGTCCGTTTCCTTCACTTTTCTTTGATCTTCCGGTCTAACAACTACTTCGTCTATTGATTGTGGTATTTTAGGTATTGCTTTTGTTGACTTTCAGTTTAATTACCTCTTGTTGACTTCTTCCAACCTCGTTCTTGATCGCTTTAAAGCATTTTTCCTCCCTCCCCTAGCCATAAACCTTTTCATTGTGATGATTCATGCTTCTCCAGTAACATCTTTTCCTTTGACCCCTTGTTATTTATCTTCCTCACTCCATTTTTTATATCAGGGACGTGTTCGATTGATCTTTTTCGGGAATAAGAATAAATGAAATACACTCCGTAAATCACTTTTTTTTGGCATCCATTGCATTGAAATATCTAGAACTCTGCTTGAAATAAAATATTTCGATGAATGTAGGGTCTCAAAACAAAACAAAACTTTTGCGAATTATTTTTTCACAAAAAGGGCAATCGACCACGCTCCAACCATGTTAAGCAATAGAAATCTCTTCATTCTTGTTAATGTTTCATTTTGCAGGAGGATATTTTTGGGACTCCTTAGCTTTAGTAAGCAAAAACGGCTGTTTAAGGTGTCCAAATGGAACATACGTTTCTCTCGACAATAGTCCAGGGACACATGCATTAAACTGCCCTCAAGGTAACGACACACAACGGGTATTGTTAAAGGGTGTTGCTAATTGTACAGCAATTTGATTAAAAATGTTCTAAGAAGTGAGAATAGGTTTTATTGAACCAAAAATTGATTGAAAAATCTCCTTTTAACATTTAGAAATTTTTCGAGCGCTGCCATTTTAAATTTTGTGAAGTCAATTGATCGCTGCGGTTGGGTCTTGACAACGGCAGTCACCAAATTAGGTCAATATTAATCTCCTACCCAGACCTCTCTTGGCCAAAGACAGAGTGAGATCTCGGTACGAGATTTTGTCAGATTAATACAAAAGGCGGCACACAGGAAATCTAAAAAAATTCGTGTCATGTCTAAGTAGAAAAAAAATTAGAATTCGTTATAACAATTTGCTCTGACAGTCGTGGTTTCCCGAGAGAGCTGTAGGAAAATTGATTTTGGCAATTTTATCTATTTATGGAAGTTTTCTTCAATTAACTGTTATGCTATCCTTGACTCTTTTACAAAGGAACAGACACCGATTTGTTCGCTGGATTTCGTGCATGCAAATGCTTGAAAGGTTTTCATCGCACTCACTTGTTTAAAGGCTGTCGGCCGTTCAATAAAGAAGGGTTGAAATGCGAAAATGACTGCATTACACTTAAGCCGGGCTATTGGTGGAAATGGTACAATGACTCCGTCAAAGGACTCTATAAGACCTACACCTCAAATCTGCTGTCATCAAATCCTTCCTTCGACAGTAACAGAGTCGAATACCCTTTTCCGTTGCCTATGCCACATGAATGCCCAAGAAAGGAATCATGCTTAGGAGGTCGGAACTCCAAATGTGAACAGGGCTATGAAGGGCCCCTCTGTGAAGTTTGTAGCCATGGCTATTACAAACACCTTCCGACCTGCAAGGAGTGTCCAACAAAGGCTTGGATGGCGGGTCAATTGACCATCACCTTCGTTTTGCTGCTGCTCCTTGTAGTGGTAGTAGTTTGGACGAGCATTATGAAAAACAAAGAGAACAGAGAGCACGCTTTGGTTGACATAATTTTGGCCAGGCTAAAAATCGTCATTGGTTTCTATCAGGTTACGTTTGGCGTACTGGATGCTTTCACTTTCATTAAGTGGCCTGATTACCTGGCTGCCGTAGCAAAATATTCCGAAATGCTTCAACTAAATGTTCTTCAGATTGCTCCAATCCATTGTCTATTTCCTCAGTTAAAAGTGGATGCATTTGGGAGTTTGTTTGCTATCCTCGCAATGAATGTAGCTGCTGTTGCAGTGGCTGGGACATGTTATGGAATGAAAAGGCTTTTGATGACCTCCAAAAGTCGTCTCCTGGAAAATGATGCGGAAGCCAAGCAGATTTCAAACACGAAGGAGCTTATCTACAGAAAAATTTTTTTCTTCTTGTTTGTTACTTATATTAGCACCTGCTCAAAAACAGCAAACGTCCTTCCCCTTACCTGCCGCGAGATGTGTTATGAAGATAACGGTAAAGATTGTTTCAAATATCTAAAAGCAGACTTTACTATTGAATGCCATAGTCGAAGATACAAGCGCTTGGTTTCTGTAGCATATTTTGCAATTGCATACATCGTCTTCTTGCCTCTTGCCTCTTACCTCTTTCTCTGGAAGCAAAACAGAAAAGTCAAAGCATCGGAAAACGACTCCAGACAAAAACAAACTTTTGGAAAAGAACTGGCGGCAGGGATGAAATTTTCTGAAAAATACACAGCCAGGTCATGGTATTGGGAGTTTGTGGAGACAGTTCGCAAAGTCATATTGACATCTGGCTTGATTCTCGTGGGAGGGGAGAGCAGGGCATACGTTGGATTGGCTTGCGTTATTCCAGGGCTGTATGGAATGTTTTTTGCCTACGTGAGACCAGTAGAAGATCCATTTGAAAACAAACTGATGCTTACTTCTCTTGCTGTTACGTTCGTCAATCTGGGCATTGGAGCTGTCAGCAAAATTCCCAAAGAAAATGTTCCAGCGTCGATAGATCCGTATGTGGACTCTGTTATGTTCGACATATTGGTGATTGCTGCCAACACTCTTGTGATCGGATTACTTGTTGGTGAGTAGGCTAAAGATTAAGACTACGAGAAGCCTCTCTTTTTTCTTAGTCCGCAGAGCAAAACGCGCGAGACACAAAAATGACCACGCCCGCGACTGAAGGAGCAAAACGGGAGAGCAGCCACCCTCGTTTCTCGCGCCTCTCTCGCGGCTTCGCCGCTCGACGCTTATGCGCGCGTGCACTCCCCTTACTAAATTCTTCCCTTCTTCTACCCTTACCTCCCCGAAAGGGAATTTCTTTCCCTTCTTCCACTCCTTCTCCTTTCTTTTATTTTTTCTCTCGTTCCAGCTTTCGTTCATTAACTCGAGCAAAACCGCTTGCTACGCACACTTAAGTGGCCACAGTAACAATTCATCGATTAAACTACCAGCCCTGTAAAGCAAACGCAGGCTGTGCTGTGTTGTTTCTAATGTGTATTTTTTGCTGAAGATTTACCTTTTCACTCTTTTCATGTCTTGATTTCAGTTCAGTATCCTGTATACCTTTACAGTTTCATCAAAGAATGGAGAAAAAATCCCCAGTGGTCCATGTCCTGTTGCCTAGCAATGCTTCTTCCTCTTAACGACCTACAGGGAGAAATTCGAGGCATGATGGGGCGGAATGTTCTGAAGCAGCAATTTCAAAGTGGACGAATAGCTATGCCCTCCGTGGCTGGCGCCGTGAAGGACACTGGGGCTATTGACTTTCAGCTTGAAGAGGAAGAAACAACTGAAGTTGCGCCAGACAGCTTGGGTGGCCATAACAACAGCTCGCACAGTCCGCAAATTGTCACGGACCCCTCAGATCCCTGTATAACTGACTTTGTTGTATCGCCTCTTGCTGTTCATTGCCGCTCGAATAAAAGGGACACCTCAGTCTAGGAATAAATGATAAAGGATGCGTACAATTTACATGGGAAACCGGAAATTCGGGTTGGAAAATCAAATAAATAGCGCCCGCATTCCAGTTAGGAAACTTCAGAAAATATGGGCTGTGATTTCAGGCGATGTAACGTTTCCAAATATTTAGTCTGTCCAGTTTATTTGGGTGTAATTTGTGGCTTGTGGTTCTCAAAATGCGTCCTTTTTCTTTAACAAGATTTCCACCCGGGGTGGTTTGTGTAATTGCACAGGAAGCAACTGAAGAATTGGCAAAATAGTTTCGGAGGAAAGAACATAAGTTAGGTTACAGAACGTTGTACATTCATTTTGTGACAGTACTTTGAATACAGGAGTAAAGCTGATTCCATAAGCATGATTAATTTAGGAGTGTAATATTTAATAAATAAAGATTACTGAGGCATTTTCAAAACGACATACATAGTGTGGCAAACCATAAAATTAGTAAAAGCCCTTGAATGCAGATCAGGTTCTCTCAACGCGTAAATAAAGCTGACTTGTTCTTTCTTGGCGGGATCTCAAATTAAGAGATGCTAATGCCAGACGTCACTTGAAGTGGGAATTAAAACAAAACTGAATGCAAGGCGGGCAATATGGCAAAAGGACTTATTTATTTGAGGCCAGTATCTCGGCTAATAAAATTAGGTTGCCCTAAAAGATGCATTCTTTTGGCATTTCATGGACGATCAAATTATAAGCTGTTTCACGGATCACTTATACCCTGACAAAACAGCCGACATTTCGCGACCCCACTTCTAGTTTCCCCGCGAAAAGAGGTCTGACAAACGATCGCAGAAAACGCGACACCATTTAGATCTGGGTAGTGTTACTTATTGGTTGAAATTTTACCCCCCCCCCCCCCCCAGCTGCGGGGTTATATGCTTCTGATGGTTGTAATTATGGTTGTTCGTCTTGTGAACGTACGAACGCGTGCGTGATGAAGTGAAGGAAAATGTGACGTCATTTGGCATCAAACGCGACTGTAATTGGTTAGATCTCGATAAGGTGTCACTCAAACTAGCTTCAAAGAACTTGTTGCGCTCTAAATTAAAACCCTGTATTAAAATATTTTCTGTCTTATGTTAACGAATAGGGGTAATCGTAGCTTAGGAGAGTGCGTTGGATGTTTGCTAGGCGTACAGGTAGCAGTTGAGGAGAAAGGGTAGATGGTTCTTGCGATAGATAACTGTGATCGTGGCATATTTTGAACGTAAGGGTTGCGTACAGCGAAACCTCGATTTAAACTGTGTATGATAATGAAAAGGTTTTGAAGGCTAGTGATCATCGTGATATCGTATGGTTAGGCGCACAGGTAGCAGTTGAGGGAAAAGGGTGGATGATTCTTGCAATAGATAACTATGATTATGGCATATTTTGAACGTAAGGGTTGCGTACAGCGAAACCTCGATTTAAACTGTGTATGATAATGAAAAGGTTTTGAAGGCTAGTGATCAGCGTGATATCGTAGGGTTCGTCTCAAGCGCTTGTTATTTGAGGAGACACTGGCCAGAGTGCTTCGGGCGTGTAAAAAGAACTTTTTGTTTTACTGACGCAATAGATGTTCTACAGGGCGTAATTGTTCGAAGGCCGATCAGCGCTTAAACCGGGTTTCTTTTTCTTTTGTTAAGAAAGGTTTCTTTGGATAATTTTCTTAGTTACTTTTTAAGAGCGTCCAATCATCAACTTGTTGGCAAAATGAAGGTTCCACAGCTGAGTTCAAATTTCGCAATAACCCTCCTCGCCTGGGTTATCTTAACCCAGCTTTGAACAACCCAGCCAAGGTACTGTTAAAAAGCAAACAGTTTACAAAGTTAATATATTTAATATTGGGAATTCCACATTTGGACAATTACTGAAATTTACTATACAATGCCGGAAACCGTTACCACAGGTAGCCCGAGCTTACAACAACATTATCCTACTTAGTAATCGACAACAGTTATAAGACGTTGTACGAAAATTATCCTATTTCTCCGTAATTGAGCGAAACGTGCATTAAATTTTTCCTTTTAGTATTTTGTTACATTTATTTTTGTGTTGACTGCGTTTCAGGCCTCTTAGGATGCCAAGAACCAAAAAACAACATTACCCATCAAGCTAATTAATTATTCACACAGAAAGAAAATTATAAGACGTTGTATGGAGAAATATTCTTTGCTCTCTTCTCATGTCGCATCTAGGGTAATGACGTCATTAGTCAAGTAGCCATTGCCAAATTAGGTTTTTTGCTGCAGTGACAAGATTTGATTATCGAGTTGAAAACAAATAGCATCTTTGAGTTATGGTGGTGTGGGGCATTTTAAAATAACCAATTGACTTCCGATATTTAAAATTTAAAGGGGCAATGAACATTGTGTGAAAAAGTCGGGAGACTAATCCGAGGGCTTTAGGGTGTCGACGTTTCATCAAACGGCAGTGAAAATTTGCAGGAAAGTAATGTTCTGCCAGATAATTTGTTTTACTACCAAAAGAGGGATATGACGTCATCAGTCACGTGATCATTACGTATAGAATATTTTAGTTTGTGTTTAAAGTATATTTGTTGTCCTAAATTGGCATGTTTTTGTTTGTTTGTTTTTTTTTGGAGAGAGAATTCTTTACACTGTATTGTCTCTGCATTTTTAAAGCAGAAGCAAACGAAAAATAAGCCAGAAGATAAGAAATTGCATAAATTGACCGATGTTGCAAGTTTAAATCGGAAAGGAGACTTTTTTTGGAGAGTTTTGAGAATCCTTATTCAACTAAACTGTTTGTTTGCCGAAATAAAAGGTCACATACAGGAGAACTTTAAAAGGCCAAAAGGAACTATTTCGCAGCCATATCTTTTTTCTTCTTTCCAGGGATAGGGTTCATGTAGCAGCTCTTCTGACCCTAAAAGCTAGTTGGTTTGTTACCCTAAACATAAAACAATGGATGTAATAATAAACACTAAAGTGTGACTGTTTTCTCCGACCAACGAAAAGACACCTTACGAGCAGCTGCTACAGTCTGGAGAGAGAGAATGGTATGGTTAAGTCGGTAGCCGATCAACAGTTCATAAATTCCTCAAACAGCTTTGCAAGGAGTCCTGGACCAAGCCTGAAAGAGTAGTATCAATGGTTTTTTTGTGAGCTTTAAGTCGAGCTACGGTGAGTTAAAAATTTAATATTAAAGTCATACTCGAAAACTGTCAATCATCATAGAGAGGGAATACATATCTCTTGAGCATAATCAGTTTAGCGTTTGCGGAGGAATTCTAGTACAGAGAAGCACTGTTTTAGAATTCTGAGGATCAGGGTTGGAATTTTCCAAGAGGAAAGTTTTTGTTTTTTGTTTGTTTTTGTTTTTTTACTCGTTTTACTTGTTAACGGTGGCGTGTACAGCCAGTAACATAATGTGGTACTGTTGTAGTAAATTCAAAGCAAAGTTTACAGGAACATACATCATGGGCTATATGAAACATGGGTTTCGACTAAGTAGGATAAAATTTTATTTAATGAAGTTGATTTACTTACATTGTAGTAGTCTTTAGTCGTTTCTGGTAAATTCTGGCCGTATATTGTAGAAAGCCTGGAAACACGCTTTGCTTGATTCAGAAGTCGACCTGCATTCCTTAAAACTTGGTAACCGAGCGTCCTCTTCCGGAATCCTGGGGAGCGGGCGCTAAGCGCGTAGAGTACATTCTCCTAAAACCCCTGGTTGGGAACAAATCTCCATCAATCGTGACTGGTCAGAGGTCATCAAGCGAGATGGCCGCGAATTTTGATGCTCCGTGTTGAAGCCAAAATAAGTTCAAGGTTTTTTTTCAAATCTTCCCTTTCATTTAACTTTCACGTCAATATCCTTTACATAAACAATGTCCGCAACTAAGAGAGGAAAAAAGAAGCAGCAGACAGAGGTTCCAGAATTAAGAAGACTTTGAAACTTTTGTACAAGAGCCACTGGCACGACTGAGCAAAGGACAGAAGCAAATCATTCAAGACATCTCAAACTTAAAAGCTAAAGGTGTCTAAGCAACATAATTATGACACCAGAAAGGCCATCCTTGCAGCACCTAAATCCTGAGCACCTTTAGAATAAATATAACAAAATTCTGTTCAACACTTATAGGATGTTATCATTGAAATGATATTTCTTTATCCATACTTGAAAAGACAACTGAAAACTTGTTTAAAAGAGAACTATATTACCATTATCTTGCTCAGTATTAATCATCGCCACACCGACCCTTGAATGTTATATATTTTTCTGTCTTTACTTTCCTTTTTCCTCTCTCTTATACTTTCATAGTTTATATATTTCTTTTTTTCTCTTTTACCCTAAGTAAAACTGTAATTTAATCAAAGGGCACGTAATTAGTTTAACTATATCTTGCCCTTCTCCATTTATTCTTATAATCCGATATCTAAATCTTAAGAATAATATTTTCAAACACTGTGCGGCTTAAAATACGATAATTATGTGACAATTTTTACAGTAAACGTAAAGTAGAATAATAAAAATTGACCGTATTCTTTTTGGAATAACGGGTAACACTATTTTTTAAGAGATTAATTCGCTTCGTATCGAAATTTGTCCAGGGAAATGGAGCTAAAAGTCAAACAGAAATAGTAGCAAAAATTCGCCGACACAGCCAACAACGCGTTCCAAACTAAAATGTGGCGTTCCGATTAAGACAAATTCTGAGTAAAATAGCCATTACGTACTGAACGATTTTGCTATTCCGAAAGGTATAGGCAATTTGTAACGAATAAAATGGGAAGTCCGTGAAGTATTTAGACATGGCTTTTTTCATATTCCGTCAAACAACGAAGATTTCCTACAAAGTTCTTTTAGCACTTTTTTATTGTAAGATTCGTAATTTCTGATCCCCCCCCCCCAAAAAAAAAAACCCAAGCAGGAATAAAGAAATTCTGATCCCCATAAAAAAAACTCCAACAAACGTTCAGAAATTCTGATCCCCACAAAGAGCTTCCAAAAACGTTCAGAAATTCTAATCGCAA